TTAATGGATAAAATTAAAATAATAATAACAATAAATTTAAAAGCAGAAAAGGAACAAAAACATACCACCAAAAGCCTTCAAAACATAATATCTTCCAGCCATAAAACCTAATGCTTTATCAACTGACCTAAGACAAACCTCCCATCTTTTTGGCTTTACGTTTTCATCAACACCTCTTAACTTTGCCATCAATCTTCGTAAAGGGGCTCGAAAATTTTCATCCAAATTATTAGCATGATTCGCAATGATTTGCCAAGCAAAGTAAGCTTGCAAAATTTGTGGAGGGGTCTTTTTTACAAGAACTGAAAGATTTTCAAAATATTGATTTGATGTCAGTATTATTTTTGATGGAAGATCTGAAACGGTTGGGTGTAAAAGGGAACTGATATAATGAGACCAAAGAAAGGTTGGACTGAGCTTTTCGAGAGATTTTATAGTATGCATATTATAAGTAGCTTCAGGATCATAAAATTCTTCGCTAGGATTTTTAATAAACTAAAGTTAGTAAAGCCGAAAAAAATATATATTTCAAGGACTAGAAATATATAATGATCATTATTGTAGCTTACGGTGATAGAGAAATTTTAGCTAAGGACTTTTCAAATTCTATAATTTTATCAGCGATATCTTCCCAGCCTCTAAACCAAACTCTTTCTATGCTATATTCATAAATATCATCCATTACACTATCGGATGTCGAATATCCCATTTCAATGATAAAATTACTTCTATTATCTAATGCTCTTCCTAGTAATTCAGCCATTACGCTCTTATATGTTCCCATAACTTGTACATCTTCATAGTATTCTTTAGAGGGTAGAACAAGACCACTTTGAGTTAAATATAAGACATTCTTATTCGGATTTTTTGCATCAGCTTCGACAAAGAATTCAAGTAATGGTTGCACACCAATAATTGATAAGTTAGACAAGGTATTTGTCAAATTAAGTAGATTGAGAGAATCAGCTTGTTGAAGATTATCATTTTGGTAACCGAAATTATTAAACAATGAGAATTTATTTTCAACAGGAAAGTTCTCAAATAATCGATCTAATAGTGGTACCAAAGGAGTACCTCCAAGTTGAGAGATACGATCCTCGTCCATACATGATTGATAAAACGACTGAAGATTATAAAAGTTTTTTTTATCAATCGATGAAGATGGAGATGGTAATACCGCCACTTGAGGTGATTTAAAATCATCTTCTAAAATGTTTCTAAGAAGTTTCTACATCAGAAAAATAACTTGATTAAATCACTATATAAATATATGAAGTTTTTGCCTAAAAATTTTATAAATAGTACAAATGATGTGTTAAATATTACCTGATTTTCTTCATAAAGTATGTTGATGTAACTATAAAGTCCTTTATCATCAGGAATTACGGATTTTTTAATCCATCCTCCACCTATAAGGCGTAGGTGAGGTTTATACATATAATAGTAGCTAAAATAGTTGAAAGAAACTTACAGCTATATAGGTAAAAATCTTCGCATGGATCGACACTTTGGTCCATATCATCAATTATTTTACCAGCAATTATAACACAATCTCGTGTTGTGCAAGGACCCTAAAATTAGATTTCAAACGATTAAACATAACAAAAAAAGCGATATCTTTACGGAAAAGATATACAGTGTCTAACTATAAAATTCCGGTACCGTGACCCGAAACCTTTTTTTCTTGGATATTTCTTGGATAATTAAATACATTAATTTACTCTTACATAATAGTAGAATGAAGTATTGTGATTTTTTTTTCACACGTTTAATCTAGCAATCATCGTAATCGTTCTACGTATATGAATTTCCAAGAATTTGCAGCATCTAAATGACCAAGACTTTATTGGACCGTCTGATACATTATCTTCAGCGAATTATAGGTCCAATAAAATCTTTTTTATAACTTTACTATTTTAAATGCCACTAATTTATAAATCTTGCATAAGATATTTTAAAACCTTATTGCAATTGTAATCGATTTATATATATATATATTGATTATAATCGATTTTGATTTAAAATGATTATTTAATACCCGTATCAATAGCAATCGATTATAATCGATTAACTGTTCGTAATCAATTATAATCAGGTTTTAAATTTTCCTGAAGGTATAACATTAATATCGACATTACATATATTAAATTATTCAATTCATGAAATTAATTGCTTAAGCTCAATTTTTTTTATCCAATTATCCAAAAATAAATTTCGGATCACAGTCTCGATATTTATGGCCAAGCTTTATGTGTATATTAATAGATGCCTGAATACCTTTACAGTATCATTATCTTTTGGTGGTAATGGCTCTGATGGAATTGAAGGTGATGGTTGTGGTGGTCCTGGAGTTATTGTGTGTTTATTAGACTTTCCACTTGCATATAAGCCAGCAAAAATGCTCATTAGAATTAAAAGAAGAAGACATGTGAAAGCTAGCATAGTTTCCAATCGTGTGAATTTTCCATGTCGTAATGGAAGGAAGTTGGTGTGGTCGCGTGGAGCTTCACGAGTACGTGGAGTACGCGGCTGTGCTGGTTCTGATAAGGTACCACCGAAGTTGCTGCTGCTACCACGGAGGGTTTCTTCATCGTCAGGGTCATTAGGTGTTCGTGCATCAGTAAGTAAAGGTTCAGTCTCTTCAATGTTGGAATGACTCATTTTTTCAATTATTGCATTTATTAAAATTATTTTATTTATTTTTTTTTCTTTATCAACGGCAGTTATACGTAATTGCAAACACAGAATGTGTTTGTGCTGATCATGATAAAACTTATATAGTGATTAATGACATTAACAAGGTTTCACTAATGCAAGTTATTACATAACAATTGTCACAAC